ATGTAGTATATTCTTTTATTTAGCAGAGATCCTATTGTAATGCAGACATTCTGTGTACAAAGAAGACAATAAAAGTTTATTAAACCCGCACAAAAGAGAATTCGAAACTGGAGTACTGGCACAACTTTGCGTTGGATGTTACATTCCGCTCAGCTTAAGTAGCTCATCCGTCTAGGACGTTTAGGCAGGCTAGTAACGAGGTCTTGGGATCAGGGATCAGCGTCATTTTTTGGACTATTCTGGGATAAGGGATCAGGATTTAGGCCCAGGATCCGGATCAAATGGATTTAACCTGGGATCAAAGGTTTTTCAACTGGGATCGGGATCAATGATTTTTTTCAACGATTCTGTAAGGGGATCAGGGCTCAAAATGTACGGAGYTTTKGGATYGGGATCASGTTTTTAGGCCGTTTTGATCCGGATCAACAGCAAAAAAATATACCTCGTTACTAGCCTGTTTAGGGCTATCGATATCAGGGTATGATGTAAAATTGTGTTGCACTGTAGACAATATTTTTTTACACAATACTTGCAGAACAGGTTATTGCACGTCTATATTCAAGACAATTTGTATTCATAGTCCAATGGAAAACTACATGTTTGTTTGTGTAGATGATAGACATGTCACCTCTTCTTCAATGCATTCCTCGAGGACCTCGATCTATAATGATATAGTTCTTACGAGAAGAAAAATGCAAATAAATATGCTACAAAACCCTTTCAGATTTTGACAATCATACTACCGAAACGGGCAGAGAGTGTTTTTTTTTCAGAAAACACACTTGTCTGAACATTCCTGAGCTGACTTGTTCTCGATCACTACTCATGTAGGTCAGGTGCCTTTAGGACTAAAATTGACCATTACATCTATATGCAAAAATAATCGACCTAATCGCAACAAAAGGTGGTTTTAATTTTTGATTCCCTAGAGGAAAGTAGAACGAAACAAAAATTCGTTTTGGATGATTTGGATGATTTGGACATTTGTCATGGACACAAGGACTGCTCACACTACTTTGTACAAAACCCTAAAACACTAAAGAAAATACAAAGGAATGAAGTCGAAAAAAAAGAAGAAAGAAAAGAACAAATCTTTTTTGGTTCTTCGTTCATTTTCATCCCTAATCTACTTTTTTTGAGCTTGTGGATATGACGCTGTGTGAACGGTCATTAGTCGGTTTCATGTTAAGGATTTCATATCACGTACACCTGACCTGTATGTTTTGTCACATTCTAACTGTTTTGGTAGTAGTCTAATAAAAAAAAACACCACAACATTTCATTAAGACTTCATTTCAAGGCATTATACATGTAGATTCAAACCTAGGAACTGTTTTTATTTTATTTCTTTAACGGAAGAAGACGTTCGATT